CAGTGTCGTATATCCACATGGGGATGTCCCCGTCTTCCGATCAGAGAATGAATTTTTACATTTGGTTTTCGCCGTTGGATTTTGGAGTTCAACCTCGCTCTCGTTGTATGAAACCGATCAGCGGCATGCCGCCGCCGCGCGCGCGCGCTCGCGCGCGCGCGCGTTGGCGATTGGGGTGCGTGTGCATTCAGTGTCGCATATCCACGCGGGGATGTTCCCGTCTTCCGATCAGAGATTTTTTTTTTGTTTTCATTGGGTTGCCGCCATGGGGTTGTGGATCTCAACACGGCTCCCGTTGTGTAGACATCTGTCAGCGGTATGCCGCCGCCGCGCGCGCGTTAGGCGCCTGCCAGTTTTGCAATCAGTGTCGCATATCCACATTGGGATGTTCCCGTCTTCCGAACAGAGAATGGATTTCTACATTGGGTTTTCGCCATTGGGTTTGGGAGTGCAACCTCGCTCCCGTTGTGTGAAACCTATCAGTGGCATGCCGCCGCCGCCGCCCGCGCGCGCGCGTGCGCGCGTTGGCGATGGGCATTGGTGCATTCAGCGTAGCAAATCCACGCGGGGATGTTCCCGTCTTTCGATCAGAGAATGAATTATTACGTTGGGTTTCCGCCATTGGATTTTGGTGTTAACCATGGCTCCCGTTGTATAGAAATCTATCAGCGGCATGCCGCCGCGGCGCGCGCGTTGGCGATTGGCATTTGTGCTTTCGGTGTCGCATATCCACGCGGGGATTCCCCCGTCTTCCGATCAGAGAATGATTTTTTCCATGCGATTTTCGCCATTGGGTTTTTTGGAGTGCAACATCGCTCCCGTTATATCAAATCTATCAGCGGCATGCCGCCGCCGCGCGCGCGCTCGTTGACGTTTGGCGTTTGTGCATTCAGTGTCGTATATCCACATGGTGATGTTCCAGTTTGTTTGATCAGGTTTTTGTTTAAAAGGGTGTTCGCCATTGGGTTTTGGAGATAAAATCTCGTCCCGTTGCGTAAAACTCATCAGCGGCATGCCGCCGCCGCGCGCGCGAAACTTCGTTCCGTTGTATAGAAATCTATCAGCGGCATGCCGCCGCCGCGCGCGCTTGGCGCTTGGCATTTTTGCATTCAGCGTCGTATATCCACATTGGGATGTCCCCGTCTCCCGATCAGAACATGTTTTTTTTTACATTGGGTTTTCGACATTGGGTTTTGGAGTTAAACATTGCCCCCGTTGTATCAAATCTACCAGCGGCATGCCGCATTTGCGTATTCAGTGCCGCTTCGCAACCCAGACAGGGTGCGCGGTGCGCAGGGAGTGGTTCTTTGAGCGCAGTCTCTATCCACGCAGGGGTCGCAGGGCGTGGCATGCGTGGCCTGGCGCCAAGAGGGGGCGCGCAGGAATCTGCCCCTGCGCGCAGGGCGCCAGGGCGGTCGCGGGGGCGTCTCCAGCGATCCAGTTTGCCCCGCTTCCCTTTTGTTTTCTACTGGCGCACTACAGCGCGGGGGAAGACATTTTTGTTAGCTGTCGGCCCCAAATATTTCTTTAAAACCGTTTTTAGACATTAGTGGTGGTGGTGGTGCTTGTGGTGGTGATGGTGCTTGGTTGTGGGTTGGTTGTGGTGGGAGGTGGTTGTTGTGGTGGTGGCGTGGTGGTGGTGGTGGTGGTGGTGGTAGTGGTGGTGTGGTGGTTTGGTGGTTTTGGTGGTGGTGGGTTGTGGTTGTGGTGTTGGTGGTGGTGGTGGCGGTGGTGATGGTTGTGGTGGTGATGGTGTGGTGGTTTGTTGTGGTGGTGGTTGTTGTGGTGGTGGTGGTGGTGTTTTTTTTGGTGGTGTGGTGGTGGTCTGTGGTGGTGATGGTGGTGGGTTGCTGTGGTGATAGTGGTGGTGTGGTGGTTTGTGGTGGTTTGTGGTGGTGGTTTGGGGTGGTGGTGGTGGTGGCGGTTGTGGTGGTGGCGGTTGTTTGTGGAGGTTGTGCTGGTGGTGGTGGTGGTGGTGGCGGTGGTGGTGGTGGTGGTGTGGTGGTTCATGGTGGTAGTGGTGGGTTGTACTGCTGGTAATGGTGGTTGTTGTGGCGGTGGTGGTGGTTGTGGTGTGGGAGATTGGTGGTGGTGGTGGTGGTAGTGGTGGTGGGTTGTTGTGGTGGTGGTGGTGGTGTGGTGGGTTGTTGGTCATGGTGGTGGGTTGACGTGGTGGTGTTGGTGGTGGTAGTGGTGGTGGCGGTGGTGGTGGCGGTGGCGTGGTGGTTTGCGGTGGTGGTGGTGGGCTGTGGTGTTGGCGGTGGTGTTGCTACTGCTGCTGGTAGCGGCGCTGGTGGTGGTGGTGGTGGTGGGTGGTGGGTTGTGGTGGTGGTGGTGGCGGTTGTGGTGGTGGTGGTGGTTTGGTGGTTTGTGGTGGTGGTGGGTTGTGGTGATGGTTGTGGTTGTGGTGGTGGTGGTGATGGTGGTAATGGTGTTGTGGTTTGTGGTGGTGTTGGGGGTTGTGGTGGGTTGTGGTGGTGGTGATTGTGGTGGCGTTTTTGGTCGTGTTCGTGGTGGTTGTCGTAGTGATGATGGTGGTTGTGGTGTTGGTGGGTTGTGGTGGTTGTGGTGTTTGTGGTGGTGGCGGTGATGGTGGTGGTGGTTTGTGGCGGTGGTGGCGGTGTGGCCTTCGGCTTTTGCCTCAACCGTGTTTTGGGTGTGGGTCAGAGTTCTCATGGATGATGCCTCTTGAAGTTTCGTCACAAGTGTTTCGGGAGCGTTTGCGGAGCATGCGTGAAGCCTCGTAGACCTTCCTCAGGGCCTCTCTGGAATTTGGGGGGCGAGGGCTCGATGTGGCGATTTGCGTGTTCCCTCTGCGGTTTCTGTGTTCTCTCTGGTGATCGTCGCTGCGTCCCCGCCATCGGCGCTGCTGGCCGCCGCCAGCGCCGGCGCCGGCGCTGGCTCGGTGGCCCCCCCCCCGCCCCCTGGGCCCTATCTGGTCATCGTCGCTGCGTCCCCGCCGTCGGGCCGCTGGCGGCCGCCAGCGTGGGCGCTGGCGCCGGCGCCGATGGGGAGGGGTTTTGGATCCCCCCCTCTTGGAATGCGGGGGGGGGGGGTCGGGATCGGGGGGTGGTGGTGGTGAGGGGAGGTCCTCTGGTTCCGATCGACGGCGCCGAGTGTTGGGGGGGGGGCCTACCACCCGGTTTGAAACGCGCCGCCGAATGTTCCCACGGCAAGCGCCCGTGAAACGCGCCCTCTCCAAAATTCGTGATACACGTCATGCTTTAAATGCGCCGACATTTGGTTCACGCGCGTATTTCAAAGGCTATCGCCAAATCTCAGGCGCAGCATGGGGAGCACAATGTGCATGCACACGGCGGTGCGGCGTTTTCTGTGTGAGACAAGTTGTACCTGGCTAGGGTGCATGGCCTCCTTATACTAAGCTTGCCGAGTTACGCCAGAAACTTCCGTTCGCCGTCTCATGCAGCATACGTGGACAATTTACCGACGCACATGAGGTAGTGCGTATCTTGAAAGAGACTGCTTTCCAGATTTGCCAGTTTGGATATGCATAGGTAGAAGGAGCTTCAATTTCCTGAATTTCACTTGTCATATCAGTTATTTTGATTCAAAGTTATACGTCTACCAGCATGCGACGCAGCGCGCGGCGCAACACCCCACGCATGCCAGCCGAGTGCGTCTACAACCCAAGATGATGCGATTTCGGCCCGCTTCATTCTTGGAATGGGAGCCCTGACAGGCATGGAGGCCAAAGGGCAAATCACTACAACGACTTACAACTGCAGCACAACCTACCACAAGTCAACAAGCAGTGTATAGTTAAGTTCCTATCCACTCTGTCGAGTGATCGATCATGTTGGTTAAACTGTTACATCTTCAGATCATGCTTGCAGTCCTCTCCAGTGAATTTGTTTCGACGGAAACGATGAATCAGAGTCAAATTGTCGGTTCCTGTTGACAAAACAGAGGCTCGGACTCATCGTGTACTTCTGCCGGCATACGACGCAGCAGATGTAGCGCCTTACGCATGCCAGCCGGTACGGCTCACAGCCCAAGAAGACGCGACTTCGGCCCGCTTCATACCTAGAATGGGAACCCTGACAAGCATTCTTCAGAGAGAGGCACGACGGCAATTCACCGCAACGACAGATACATTTTCAGCTCATGCTTACGGGCCTCTCAGCTGAATCAACTATACGGGAGGGATGGATGCAACAACCTCTTTCTACTTGTCACCGCGGACGTCGCGCCGCCCGAACGCCACTAGCTACAAAATGGACCGACCTCTACATCGCATCTACATTGAACTGTCAGCAGTCCCCGATACTTACGAGAGACTCACAGCCGCAGCAAATCGGCTCAAGCCAAGCGATGTCATTACTTGCGCCGCTCAGAGGCGCCGTGCATCTTTTATTTTTCCTATCGCATGACATAACCCATCCTCTTTGCAGGGTCGAAGAAGGTCAAAATCACCGCGTTTCACTTGCGCACCAGCGATGAATATCTACATGACTTACAATGAAAAAGGGACAAGACCAGCTTACCATAGAGCGGCAGATGTTGATCAGCAGTGCCGCGCAACCTCCAACCGCTACGTGGCCGACGGCAAGTGCGACTCTCCACCGCTGCTCAACCTATGAGGGTGGCCGACCTTCCAACCGCTGCAACGTGCAGCAGCTGCGACGAGCGCGACCCAAGCCGAACTCTCATGCTCAGAGCTAAAGTACAGACAGACAGACAGGACGAGGTCGACAACGACAATCTCGACAAGCTCTCTGGTACACATCACGACACCTCGGGCGCGAGCGCACGCCAGTGCCCGCCGAGAGAGGATGGGCGCACGCGGTGCAAGAGAGCCACATCGCAGTGACTTTATCATCTACCTGACATCAGCCATGAGTTATTCCAGCTATTTGAGTCTCGTCTGGACACGGCATTTCAAAAGCGGACCGACGCGAGCCCCTGCGCCAGCATCTACAGTCACTGGGCAGAGAGGCTCCGTATAGTTTCACTCTACAGACGCGCCGACCACCGATCAGACGGACAACCCCTTTATACGCGACGACGCCACCGACCGCGACGTGCGCCGCGCAGTCATCGTCGACCAACCGTGGGGCAATATCAGCGACGACAGTGATCGCGACAAAGTACGTCTGACACAATCTCTTTACAACAGGGATGGTGCTGAAGAGGACCTACTGGGGGCGCGCTATAAACCGTGCTGCCAGCAGCTCGAGAAGCGCTGCGAGTTCTCCATCGACGAACAGAGTGGGATCCACGCCAGGTACCAGCCCAGCATCACCAACGCGCCCCCCAGCTCCATGGCCAATTCAGAGAACGACATCGCCGCAGGGCCCGACCTACTCGCGTTCGCCAAACTCCTGGCGAACGCGTTCCATGCGCCAGGCGCAGCAACGCTACATCCACCGTGGGCTACTTCGATGGTTGACAAGTCCCACAGGCACATCGCGCCGCCGACAACTTACCAGCAGCCCGACTACGTTGAGCTACAAGGCGGCGACGACCACGCCGCAGACCTGTTCGACCACTAGACAGGCGCAGTGAGAGAGCCATTGCCACAAACACCATAGCACACACGACCGCCTCCAACAGATGTTGAGCTCCACTCACCAACGCCAGACAACCCAGCGCGGCCGCAAACTATTGGTGGACATACACTGGCCTATACCAGTAACCAACCTTCATCCACGCGCAAATGAGACCCGTGACCAGGAACAGCGACGCAGCCAATCCTGCGCCGACAATGCAAATGCTTCACCCACGCTGTATTAGCTTCGCATTCAGGCCACCAGAACTCATGCGCGAGACGATGCGCAGGATACCGACCGACACCGGCGCCGACAGCCCGCGCCGCGAATGGATCCAGGGGTGGCTCGACCACCGATTGCAAGCGGAGAAAGTAGAATGCGGCTGCGTGGACAGGCTCTGCATGCATTCTCTGGCTACATGCTACCCGCTCCGCCGCGTAAATATTCGCCGCATCTCGACTTCAGACCCAAGCGAGACCACCCGCAAGCAATGCCACCATCACCACCACCGACTCATGCGCCCACGCCACTGCCCAAGGTCAAGATGCCAACGCCGTTCGCGCCCCGAGCGCAAACGCGTCAGTAGACCACTATCCGCAACCCTTGGGGCGACGAAGGCGTCGGCGCAGCAATGTGCGGCCCGATCGCCGATTCAGAAAAAGATGGAAGCTGCGCCGGCAACAGCGAAGACCACAAGCACACTCAGACGCCCTTCTTTCTCACATCGTTCCCTCCTCATGAGAGCCGCGACATGCGCTGCCCAGAAGGCTGGGCCCCGCGCAGTGCCAGAGACAGAATTAAAGAGGACGGTCACGACGAAGACAATTGGCACTGTGCCGTCTGTGCCGTCTATTACTACTCGGCATTCCATACCTACATCTGCATATCCCCAAACGGCCACCTACCTCTACCTAGATGGCGCAGTTACCTCGACAAGTGCAACAACGAATCGTTCGCCCACCGCTGAGGCCCGATTCACGTGCGACCCCGCTCTCCGCATTCGGGATGCCACTGACCGATCGGACCAGATCCTTCAAGCTCAGCGACGCAACGCCGGCAGACGACCACCTTGCCTCCACGGGGGCCGCGTCTGCACTACCAACCGCGAGCCCCGCTAGGAAACTGCGCGAGCGACTTTGCAACCCACTACAGACTCAACGGGGACTACAGGATGGCAGTCGATCTTGCCAACGGGCACCTTAGCTCCCTAACGCGAGATCTGACTGCAAGGATGCGCGATGTGGCTAAGCAGGCCATACTCACGGTCTCACAGTGGCTACATGGCACGACTGCAGGGACAACGTGAAGTACCATTGGGCCGTCGCATCAACGACATCACAACTACTGCAGCAGATATGCAACCCAACCTACAAACCTTGCGACGACCACATCATTCCACAACCGCCATCGAGGTCCTACTCCATCAGTGACACCATTGAGGACGCACCACCACCTCCCAGCACCATCCAGCCAGCACCAAGGACCAACTAGTAGGCGTCAACCAGACCACCAACCAGCTAGCAACAGCCAGCCAGCACACACACTGACACGCCAAACCAGTCAGCACCAACGACCAGTCCTATTACGATCGAGCAGTCCAGCACCACACACGGGATCAGAAGCCCAATTCGCCCGCCACCACCTAGCCTCAGAAGTCCCATAGTTTGCCCACCACCAGAGGCCGCATGGGCTCAGCGCTGAATCAATGGAATGCCCACATCAGAGCTAGCACCTCAAACGCTCGCCACGAAGCAGATTTACTTCCAATCGAAGACACCTCCAATACAGTTCCAAGGCGGACAGACGGGAGCCACCCCAATAGCCTCACACAAGGAGCATCTTGGAAGGGTACTCGTCCACGACGACAAACGACCGAAGGTTTTTGGATTACATCGAGACGATGCGCAACCGCCAGATGCAAAACCAACAGTACCTGACATAAGTACGACAGCGCAACCTATGCCAAGCAGAACTACCAGCAATATCCAATGCCATGGCAGCGCCAGCCATGCTCAAACCAGAGTTCCCAGTACCAGAATGCAAGGCGCCACCTGCTGCGAAACCAAGGTCCCCAACACTGCCGTGGAAGAGGAGAAGGACGATGATGATCATGATGACGATGCTGCGAAGGCGGAGGAGGACGAGAGGGGAGGAAGAGGAGGAAGTAGCAGCAAGAGCAGGAGGAGGAGCACGCGGGCTCGGAGGCCATGCCCTCCCGCAGCGGCAGGGTGGGGCAGACCTGTCGCGCGGAGGTGGCAGCCTGCTCCGCCGACCCACTCCTCCTACTGCCTGCTGGCGGAGGGCACGGCGCGCGGCACATGGTTTGGTCGCCGCGGGGCTCTCGTGAGGCCATCGTGGTTCACGGAGGCCCTCTTTGCGCCAGCGTGAGGTTCTCGTTGGGGCCGCCCGTGGCCTTCTACATAGGGGGCCCTCTGGGGGTGTCGCGAGGCCGTCCTGGAGGACACGCCGGTCATGTTGTGGCCTGCCGTGGCCGTTTTAGCTCAGGACTCTGCGCCCAATTGTCTCTATCAGCTTCGTATACAGCTTCGTATAGCTGACGATACCGAACTGCTCTTTTTTTCAAACTTGTTTGGACAGCTCCAACCTCTGCCAGGTATGGCGGGCATCCATTTGGCATTATGCATGATGGGGTTTGAAGTTGCTGTTTCCAGCGAGCACACAGACATGCAGCTTATGCAGATGCAACCGGCTGGTGTCTTGCACGGCAGCGGAATGGGGAAGCCGCCGCAGGGTTGCCGCACCTCGGTTGAGGGTGATCGGTGTTACGTCGAGGTGATGTGGGCGATGCGGGCGGGCATCCAGCAGCACCCAGAGTACTATCTTCCTTTGACGAGAAATTCTAGCTTCGAGGACTTCCAGCAACACCTGCACGGCACGGCCAGGCTCTCTGGCGTGTGCCCCGAACCATGTGCGGCTGCAGCGCCGAAGTCACAGCAGCAGGGCCAGCCTGGCTCTGAGACCCAGGCGCGTAGCTCACAGTCTGTTGGAACTCCGGTGCCTACTGCGCAGCAGGTCGGGACTCCAATGCCAACAGTGATCCACCTGGATGACCTGCTCGTTTCAACCTACCCGGGGTACGAGCAAAGCGGCCAAAATTGCCAGTGCGGAGCAGAGATCAGCGCATTTTCTGACGATTTCGATTCTCTCGAGTTATGTGCTTCGGAGTGTTCCTTGCGCCCAGATTGCAAGTCAATTGGTTTTCACCCCTCGCAGTCAGTGTGGAAAGGCGGTTGCTACCTTTACGATGCAGAGTGTGGGTCAACGAATGGGCATGACTCCAACACCACCTGTGCCAATCCAAACCCAGAGGGAGCTCTCAGTGTCAACTTCAACAGGATACCGACCACGCCTGCACCTACGGCTTCAGTTGAGCCTTGCGACGTCACCGATGGATCGTCTCCGAGCTATTTCTACCCGTGCCAGTGCGGGACTGACATGTGCCTTACAAACGAGGTCTGCTCAGGTGACAGGGGAGGCTTTTCGTGCGCTCCTCCGGGCATCTTGAAGGTAGAGTGGCCGTGCTTGACGACTTCTATCGGCAGCCCCTACTTCGTTTTTTCCGGGACCAGCGCAACCGGAGCGCCAGTATACAGTAACACCGATGGCAATTGTTGACGCTTCGCGTATCCCCACCAGCCCATCCAGAAACGATGCTCAGGGGAGTTGAGGTGATCAGGGAAGTCGGGGAGCATGCAGAATAACAAAGGGCGGGGGAAGCTGTCACAGACCCCGAGAGGGGGAGGATGGAAGAGGAGTCGTCGTCGTCGTCGTCGTCGTCGGAGGAGGAGGAGGAGGAGGAGGGGGAAGAGGAGGAGGAGGAGGAGGAGGAGGAGGACGGAGAAGGAGGAAGAATCGGAGGAGGAGGAGGAGGAGGGGAAGGAGCTTCTTGGGGGTCTTTTGAGGGCCTCTTGGAGGGCTTTTTGGGCGCCTTGGGGCATCTTGGGCGCCTCTTGGGACCCTCTTGAGGCGCTCTGGGGAGCCTTCGGGGCGCTTTTGGGGCCATCTTGGAGGGAGTCGATCAAACAAGAGGGGGGGTTTAATTAGCGTCCCCCCTCGGAAGCCCCTAAAATCGCCTCTTGGACCCCTCTTGGAACGCTCTTGGAGTGCTCTTGGGCGCTCTTGGGGCCGTCTTGGGGCTCTTTTGGGGCTCTCTTGGGGCCCTCTTGGGCCATCTTGGAGCCATCTCCAGGCCTCGGATGGCCATCGGAAGCGAAAAGGCGAGAAAGCAAAAATCATTGATTTTCCTTAGGTTTTGGGACGATTTTGGCCTCTTCGGGGCCTCCTTGGGGAGCTGTTTGGCCACTTGGAGTTATCTTGGGGCCGTCTTTGGGCTTCTTGGAACCATCTTAGGAGCCATCGTGAGCGATCTTGCGCTATCTTGAGCCATCTTGGAGCTCATCTTGGGTTCTCTGAGGCGCTCTTGGAGCCGTCTTGGGCCATCTTGGACGCTCTAACTACCCGCGGCCCCCCCCGTCCAGGTCCAGGGGAGGGGGTAGGGGGAGGGGTAAACCCCTCCCCAAGGGGGAAGAGGGAGGGGTGGAAGAGGATCTGCTCTAGACCACCTACGCCCAGAGGGCTGGTGGGATTACATGTATTGGGACGCTTCGTGTGATGGCATCGAGCGACCTCCGAAATATGAACAGCCGCGGTGGATTCTGGACTCTGAAGAACCAAACATGACAGCAATTATGGATTTAGATTCTGATGCGAATTGCGCTTATTTTGGGCATCATGGTAGTTCAGATTCTAATGGTGTCCCGCTGGGGAACACAACTTGGTTCTTGCTATGCGACGGCCAAGGCCTCAACATGACGGTGACGATCACTTACGAGGCGTATCTCCCGACACCGTCACCGACGATGGAGCCTGGGATGCCGTGTCCTTGTAATCAGTTGTGCGGCTTGTTTCCCTACATTGATTTGAATAGTGATGGGTGCCTTGAGGAGTTTGAGTGCAACCTAAACCAGTATCTCGACGGGCACTTTACCGATATGGACGCGGACGGGGATGGATGCGTGACCCAGGAAGAGTGTGGCGACTCTCCATATGCGCAGGATATGCCTAGCTTCCCGATCGTGGGTCCAGCTGAATGTGACTACGGTTATTACTTCCAGGAGGGCACCAGCGTTTGTCAGCAGTGCACCACGGGCGCTACGCGGCGGCGCCGCTCAGAGGCCTGCGTCGACTGCGCCTCGGGCAAAGAAGACCTGGGCGACTTCGACAACTGCATCTCGGGGGTGTGGCTCACCGAGCCCATATCGGCTGGCGACGTCAACGTCTTCGTCAACAAGGACATCGACGAAAGTGGCGTCGTGCTGCAGAAAGGCGACGGGATCACCATGTCCACACGCAACCCTGGCCACTTCGAGAGACTGGTTATCGCCGACAAGATCGGCTTCGATGACAGCGAGAGACTGTCGTCATACCACGAGTCTCTGCTCCGCAGAAGTGGGCCCTTCTTTGTGCTTGACCACGGAGTGAACGCAGGGTTTAACAAGTTCGACGCGATCATCTCGTCCTGCTCGAGCACCGACGGTACTGGAATCAGCTCGCAGTACCCTTGCGGATGCGGCATTGAAATCTGCGGTCTTGGGTACAGGTGTGACGAGCAGTGCTCTGGGAGCAACACGGTTCTGGATCCCTTCGTTGGCAGCAGCTACGGGGACGGCGGGTGCTGCATCGGACCCCCTGCCTCTCCTCTGCCGACCCCTTCCCCGACGGTGTCGGCCAAGGGTGACCCACACCTGGTGAACCTTCAAGGCGAGCACTTCGACGTCAACCACGGCGGCGAGTTCACTCTGCTGCGCATCCCGCAGGCCGCTGACAGGACCGCCGAGGTGGAGCTCCAGGCCACCATCCGCCCCGAGCACGGGAAGCCGTGCACCACGTACATCACCGCGGTTGAGCTCTCGGGTGCCTGGCTCGGCGGTATCGTCCTGCAGGTGCGCTCTTACTTGCGGTCGCACGCCAAGAACGAAAGCGACTCGTTCTTGGGCCTCCGGGTGCTTGAGCCGGGCACCCCTCACGAAGCTCCATGGTCGAGACTCGCGGATTGGGCCGAGGGGAACATCGTCGTGTTCGAGCAGCAGGCCCGAGATGGCGTCAGGGTGACAATGTCCAAGTCGCAGTGGCGCACCAAGAAGGGCGTGAAGGAGGGATTGCCGACCATAGCTGGGCAGCTTCAGATCATGATTCAGAACAAGCTGAGCGAGGACTCCGCCATGATCGTCGTCCGCCAAGACCTACCCGTGCAGGAGCATCTGAACTTGGCTGTGCGGCGCTTGAGCGCTCTCGGGCGTGCAGACATCGGTGGGCTGCTTGGGTTCGATGCGCATGCCGAATCGCTAGAGGATGTTACACCTGAGTGCCAGCGTCACAGAGACGGGTTGGACAAGAAGGCGGGCCCCAAGACACTGCCGGGCTGGAAGATTAGATGGCAGAAGATCAAAGAGCAGCGCGCCAGCAATCCCGCACCTGGCGGGCCGATCAGCGACAACGAGGCGGGGGCCAGCCTCGTCAACAGGGACATGATGTGCGTCTGCCCCGACGCAGAGCCGATCGACGTCAGGGAGGAGGCCGTCCAGTCCATGAACTCCGCAAGTCTGATCGGCGGCGGGCACGATGGCGTCCTCGCAGAGTTCCAGACGGGCCGGCTTGCCGAGGCAACGTGGGACTGACCGCGATCTGCGCGGTGTCCGGGGCGCTTCCGCTGATGCGCCCGCTCGCAGACTCACCGCTGACAGGCCCGCCTGCCCGCCCCACGCCCCCCCCCCCCCCGCGGCCGCTGCGGTCTGGAGGAGAGCTGTCCCCTGGGATGCCCACCTCGGCTCGGTCACCACACACACGCGCACTTCATAACATTTGTGTTTTCTCGGGCCAGCGGGTCCGCCGATTGGGCGAATCCGAGGGCCGAACATCTGCAGGGGGAGGGGAGGGGGGGGAGGAGGAGGAGGAGGAGGAGGAGGAGGAGGAGGAGGAGGATCATTGTGGAAGCAGGCGCGCAGTTGGCTTTTGGTCTGTTGAGCTTGCTCTGAGCTTGCTCCAGTTCTTGCCGTGCGCGCACCATTTGCAAGACTCGGCCCGAAGGGCAACGGTCGCGAGCGACCGGCCCCGCTGGCCCGCTGCTCGATCCTTGGTGGACTTGGCTGGCATTGGCAGGCTGAGTAGAGGAAAGTGGGTCATGCTGTGGCCCTCTTGGGCCGTCTTGGAGCCGTCTTGGAGGCCAGGACTGCTCTGGCCGTCTTGACGGCCTCTCGGGCCGTCCTGAGGCCACCTTGGGCCGCCCTGGGGCCATCTTCGGCCATCTTGGAGGCACATGGGGCCATGTTGGCGGCCCGAACTGTCTGCCTCGGGCATCGTGGAAGCTCGGGGGCGCGAGCCGTGCAAGGGGTCGTGGCCTTGGGAGTGCGGGCTCATGTGAGTTCTCCTGTGTACCAGCTGTCGTGGGCTCATGTCCGCGGGCCCGTCGCTTTGATCTGGGAAGGGAGAGTGGATGCATCCTCAGCATGCCAGGGGGCACGGAGGTGGATTCTGTTCCCCTTCCTCGTCATCATTCTTCACGTGCCCCACACGCGCAGCCTCCTCCTCCTCCTCCTCCTCCTCCTCCTCCTCCTGAACGTCTTCCTCTTCCTCCTCCTTGCCCTCCTCCGAGGTTTTGGATCATCCTTTGCGTCCCCCTCTTGGCGAATGAGACCTTCCTCCTCCCTCCCGTTGCTTCCTCCCGCACTGTGCCGTCTATTACTACTCGGCAGTCCATACCTACATCTTGATATCCCCAAACGGCCACCTACCTCTACCTGGATGGCGCAGTTACCTCGACAAGTGCAACAACGAATCGTTCGCCCACAACGACCTCCGGTAATCTCTTCCCCGCCCACCGCTGAGGCCCGATCCACGTGCGACCCCGCTCTCCGCATTCGGGATGCCACCGACCGATCGGACAAGTTCCTTCAAGCTCAGCGACGCAACGCCGGCAGACGACCACCTTGCCTCCACGGGGGCCGCGTCTGCACTACCAACCGCGAGCCCCGCTAGGAAACTGCGCGAGCGACTTTGCAACCCACCACAGACTCAACGGGGACTACAGGATGGCAGTCGATCTTGCCAACGGGCACCTTAGCTCCCTAACGCGAGATCTGACTGCAAGGATGCGCGATGTGGCTAAGCAGGCCATACTCACGGTCTCACAGTGGCTACATGGCACGACTGCAGGGACAACGTGAAGTACCATTGGGCCGTCGCATCAACGACATCACAACTACTGCAGCAGATATGCAACCCAACCTACAAACCTTGCGACGACCACATCATTCCACAACCGCCATCGAGGTCCTACTCCATGAGTGACACCATTGAGGACGCACCACCACCTCCCAGCACCATCCAGCCAGCACCAAGGACCAACTAGTAGGCGTCAACCAGACCACCAACCAGCTAGCAACAGCCAGCCAGCACACACACTGACACGCCAAACCAGTCAGCACCAACGACCAGTCCTATTACGATCGAGCAGTCCAGCACCACACACGGGATCAGAAGCCCAATTCGCCCGCCACCACCTAGCCTCAGAAGTCCCATAGTTTGCCCACCACCAGAGGCCGCATGGGCTCAGCGCTGAATCAATGGAATGCCCACATCAGAGCTAGCACCTCAAACGCTCGCCACGAAGCAGATTTACTTCCAATCGAAGACACCTCCAATACAGTTCCAAGGCGGACAGACGGGAGCCACCCCAATAGCCTCACACAAGGAGCATCTTGGAAGGGTACTCGTCCACGACGACAAACGACCGAAGGTTTTTGGATTACATCGAGACGATGCGCAACCGCCAGATGCAAAACCAACAGTACCTGACATAAGTACGACAGCGCAACCTATGCCAAGCAGAACTACCAGCAATATCCAATGCCATGGCAGCGCCAGCCATGCTCAAACCAGAGTTCCCAGTACCAGAATGCAAGGCGCCACCTGCTGCGAAACCAAGGTCCCCAACACTGCCGTGGAAGAGGAGAAGGACGATGATGATCATGATGACGATGCTGCGAAGGCGGAGGAGGACGAGAGGGGAGGAAGAGGAGGAAGTAGCAGCAAGAGCAGGAGGAGGAGCACGCGGGCTCGGAGGCCATGCCCTCCCGCAGCGGCAGGGTGGGGCAGACCTGTCGCGCGGAGGTGGCAGCCTGCTCCGCCGACCCACTCCTCCTACTGCCTGCTGGCGGAGGGCACGGCGCGCGGCACATGGTTTGGTCGCCGCGGGGCTCTCGTGAGGCCATCGTGGTTCACGGAGGCCCTCTTTGCGCCAGCGTGAGGTTCTCGTTGGGGCCGCCCGTGGCCTTCTACATAGGGGGCCCTCTGGGGGTGTCGCGAGGCCGTCCTGGAGGACACGCCGGTCATGTTGTGGCCTGCCGTGGCCGTTTTAGCTCAGGACTCTGCGCCCAATTGTCTCTATCAGCTTCGTATACAGCTTCGTATAGCTGACGATACCGAACTGCTCTTTTTTTCAAACTTGTTTGGACAGCTCCAACCTCTGCCAGGTATGGCGGGCATCCATTTGGCATTATGCATGATGGGGTTTGAAGTTGCTGTTTCCAGCGAGCACACAGACATGCAGCTTATGCAGATGCAACCGGCTGGTGTCTTGCACGGCAGCGGAATGGGGAAGCCGCCGCAGGGTTGCCGCACCTCGGTTGAGGGTGATCGGTGTTACGTCGAGGTGATGTGGGCGATGCGGGCGGGCATCCAGCAGCACCCAGAGTACTATCTTCCTTTGACGAGAAATTCTAGCTTCGAGGACTTCCAGCAACACCTGCACGGCACGGCCAGGCTCTCTGGCGTGTGCCCCGAACCATGTGCGGCTGCAGCGCCGAAGTCACAGCAGCAGGGCCGGCCTGGCTCTGAGACCCAGGCGCGTAGCTCACAGTCTGTTGGAACTCCGGTGCCTACTGCGCAGCAGGTCGGGACTCCAATGCCAACAGTGATCCACCTGGATGACCTGCTCGTTTCAACCTACCCGGGGTACGAGCAAAGCGGCCAAAATTGCCAGTGCGGAGCAGAGATCAGCGCATTTTCTGACGATTTCGATTCTCTCGAGTTATGTGCTTCGGAGTGTTCCTTGCGCCCAGATTGCAAGTCAATTGGTTTTCACCCCTCGCAGTCAGTGTGGAAAGGCGGTTGCTACCTTTACGATGCAGAGTGTGGGTCAACGAATGGGCATGACTCCAACACCACCTGTGCCAATCCAAACCCAGAGGGAGCCCTCAGTGTCAACTTCAACAGGATACCGACCACGCCTGCACCTACGGCTTCGGTTGAGCCTTGCGACGTCACCGATGGATCGTCTCCGAGCGATTTCTACCCGTGCCAGTGCGGGACTGACATGTGCCTTACAAACGAGGTCTGCTCAGGTGACAGGGGAGGCTTTTCGTGCGCTCCTCCGGGCATCTTGAAGGTAGAGTGGCCGTGCTTGACGACTTCTATCGGCAGCCCCTACTTCGTTTTTTCCGGGACCAGCGCAACCGGAGCGCCAGTATACAGTAACACCGATGGCAATTACATGTATTGGGACGCTTCGTGTGATGGCATCGAGCGACCTCCGAAATATGAACAGCCGCGGTGGATTCTGGACTCTGAAGAACCAAACATGACAGCAATTATGGATTTAGATTCTGATGCGAATTGCGCTTATTTTGGGCATCATGGTAGTTCAGATTCTAATGGTGTCCCGCTGGGGAACACAACTTGGTTCTTGCTATGCGACGGCCAAGGCCTCAACATGACGGTGACGATCACTTACGAGGCGTATCTCCCGACACCGTCACCGACGATGGAGCCTGGGATGCCGTGTCCTTGTAATCAGTTGTGCGGCTTGTTTCCCTACATTGATTTGAATAGTGATGGGTGCCTTGAGGAGTTTGAGTGCAACCTAAACCAGTATCTCGACGGGCACTTTACCGATATGGACGCGGACGGGGATGGATGCGTGACCCAGGAAGAGTGTGGCGACTCTCCATATGCGCAGGATATGCCTAGCTTCCCGATCGTGGGTCCAGCTGAATGTGACTACGGTTATTACTTCCAGGAGGGCACCAGCGTTTGTCAGCAGTGCACCACGGGCGCTACGCGGCGGCGCCGCTCAGAGGCCTGCGTCGACTGCGCCTCGGGCAAAGAAGACCTGGGCGACTTCGACAACTGCATCTCGGGGGTGTGGCTCACCGAGCCCATATCGGCTGGCGACGTCAACGTCTTCGTCAACAAGGACATCGACGAAAGTGGCGTCGTGCTGCAGAAAGGCGACGGGATCACCATGTCCACACGCAACCCTGGCCACTTCGAGAGACTGGTTATCGCCGACAAGATCGGCTTCGATGACAGCGAGAGACTGTCGTCATACCACGAGTCTCTGCTCCGCAGAAGTGGGCCCTTCTTTGTGCTTGACCACGGAGTGAACGCAGGGTTTAACAAGTTCGACGCGATCATCTCGTCCTGCTCGAGCACCGACGGTACTGGAATCAGCTCGCAGTACCCTTGCGGATGCGGCATTGAAATCTGCGGTCTTGGGTACAGGTGTGACGAGCAGTGCTCTGGGAGCAACACGGTTCTGGATCCCTTCGTGGGCAGCAGCTACGGGGACGGCGGGTGCTGCATCGGACCCCCTGCCTCTCCTCTGCCGACCCCTTCCCCG